GAGTAATCCATACAACATGACAAAAGTACATTTGAATATAAGTTAACAAGAATCACATTCTCCATGCAATTCAACAACAAAAGAGCATGTTGTACAATGCAACAAGGAATAAGTTCTCAAAGCCATCAACTTATAATCTAAAGCACAAAATAACAGTAGTGGTTCATGCCACCTAACGTCTAAGTTCTAAATGAATCAATAGGATCAATCTTAAGCTTTGTTAGAACGTCAAAACATAATTTTCAATATCGATACAATTAAACCAACATTGGAACTTCCAATACAATGCATAAAGCACAATTTCGCAAAGTTAACATCATGTAACTTAAAATGGAACGACAAATAAGGAACAACAAGTTACAACATCATCTAGTTATCAACTTGAAAATGAAATGCGAAATCAAACAAAGTGGATATTCGGACGTCACGCCGGATCAGACCGACAACATAGTTACTTTAGGGTTACTAGCCCATGGGTAACCTCCCTATGTGCGCACTAGACTATATAGAGGGACTATCCCCCGTACTAAAACCACGTCCTAGCCATAGTCAAACAACGACATCCCCAAGTTTCCAAAATCAACAAGTTGTGCAACAACGCATATATCAATAGGAATATGCAAGATAATCAACTATTTACCAAGCACAACCAAATTTAGAAACCTATACAATACATGCTTTAATCCACAACTAATATGATATGATGAATGTCGAATCTTCAGTGTGCGATTCGTTACACGCTATGCATGAAAGATGTAAAATACGAAGTGTGCAAATCATTACACAAGGAAACAATATATTCAATAAGGAAAACATATTCTCATGAGTATAAACATAGCAACTATGTTATCCAATGCTCAAAACATAACCAAATGAATATACAACAAGTCCATGTCCAGGATTTTGATATAGAAACGACTTTCAAACACAATTAAATCCATGGCTCAATTAGATAGAATTTAATTAAATAAAAATAATTAAATTCCCTAGATTCTCATTCAATTCCAAATAACCTCAAATTAATACATATTAAAGAACATGGCATGGTCATCACCTATATCCATTCTAAAACTCAATTAGGTTATTGGAATAACAAAGTAGAACTCTAATTAAATCATGCTAACTTAATTACCAAGGTTCTAAAGTAACTTCAAATGGTCCACAATTAATATATATTAGTAAACAAGTCATGGCCAATACAAATATCAAGTTAAAATCTTAATTAAGCTAATGGGACCACAAAATAGATTTTAATTAAATCTTTTAATTAAAATCTCTAGATTTTCAAACTTAACCAAATGTTCTCAATTTAACATATCTTAGAGAACATGCCAAGAACTAATGTAATATCACATTACTAGTTTATTTCATTCAATTTACGACTATGTGAATTAAACTTTCATTAAAGTTAAATATAAAATAAAAGTTGCAATTCTCATGCAATTAATCCCAATTTAATATATGTGAACAACTATACCAAATCCTAATTTTCTAGCATGCCACAATTCAATTCCAAGTTGTATATCACCATGAGGATTAAATCTTAAATAAGGAAATTAATGAAATGAAAGGTTTCAAAACCTAACCGAATATTCTAAATCAAATATATGTGAAGCTATATGGCATGTAAGTCAAGAATATCAAGTCGAAATTTAAATAGAGTGAATAGTGCACTCGGGGCAAATTAATTAATAATTACTAATTTTCAAAACACCTCCAATTACTTTCAAATTCAACTATGTTAAAGAGCATGCTAAGGCCTAATATAATATGCTAACACATATTAATTTCAAGCTAGTTAAGGCCACATGATTTAATATTTTATTCTAGTAAAATATTAAATAAAATCTTTGTTACTTGTCCAATTTCTCTCAATTTAATATATGTTAATCAACATACCAAGGGGTAATATTCTATCATGCCACATGTTTAAACAAGGCTATAGGCAACCGAGAAAATCAAATCACATGCTAGAAAATAAACAATTAAAATCTCTAGATTTAATATCCAAGCATGTAAACAAGTAATATATACATCACAAGCATGCTATATAATAAGAAAGCAACCTAGAACACTCCCTACCTCAATTTGAGATGAAAATCTCAAAAGTCCACCGAAAAAAAAGTGTTCCGAATCCGCCGAAACTCCTAGGTTTTGTCGGAGACAACACGATCTACATGAATCCGAAGGAAGCCCCATGAAAATCACAACTTGACTTCAAAACCAAACTTAAAATTTGGTCAGAAAATGGGTTTTCAATAAGGAGGAAAGAAGCGCGTAGTCAATACGAACACAAAACGCAAAGGCACTTCAACTTTTTAACAAATGAATGAAGTTTAAAAGGGGAGAGAGGTGGTGGCAGCCTCCCTTGGGCTGCCATGGGAGCTCTGGTCGTGCAAAGTGAGTGGGGAAGATGAAAATCAAAATATCTCATCCCCCTTTTATAGGAAAATCCAAAAAGTGCCCCGAAAGGGCCCCGCCGAGTCTGGAAAAGTGAAATTTGAGCAAACATGCTCAAATGACAAAACTTTGTGAACAAAAAAGATTCAAAATGAGAAAATATGAACAACGGAAGAAACGACGCCAAAAACTGAGTTCCGAGCAGAAAGTTATGCCCCGAACAAGTTCGGTAGCAACTGGGTCTAGAAACTCTGAAACTGGAGAAAAACGACCAGAAGGAAAATTTATGAATTTACGAGTCAACAAAAAGTGAAAATGAATCCCGTACAAGGATCCAGGCTCCAGACGAGATATTTTGCAATAACTTTCGTTAATTGCACAATGGCCCATACAAAAAGGGTTAACTGTGAAACTGCCCCAGAATGAAAATATCTTCCAAAAGATATTTTCTTAAATGCCCCTGAAATAAAACATCTTCAAAAGATATCTATGAAAAGCACCCCAAGAAAAGAAAATAATTCCAAAGAATTGTGCATCCACGCCCCTATGAACACCAGGAGCAACCAGAGTACTTTCTTACAAAAGTGAAGATACATATTTCAAGGAAACCACTCAAGATGAAGGCACGTGAAGTCAAAAACCAACTCTGAGCATGAGAAGTGAGGCTGTGCCAACAATGTGACAAACGGGGAAAAGACAGAATAGGGAAAAAGACGAAACAGGGAAAAGGACGAAAGACGCATAGTGTCCGAAAAGTGAAAATGCGAAAATGACTCGGTCCTCAAAGGAAGTTGTCAATTCGCATGAAAGAGTCTCAGAAACCAATTCCGAGCACTCGAGATGACACTAAGCGACACGAAACAGAGCTCAGAAAAGAAAATTAAACGAAAAAAATTCATTCGTAAAATTTCAAGAAAAGGGAAAGGGAGGCAAATGACCAGGTCGTTACAATTAGTGTCTTAGTACTCATGGATTTAATCATAGAAAATTACAAAGCAGTGCAGGCTGTTAACGAGTGGAAGGGGTTTAATTGCCTAATTTAATTTTAGCAATTTAACGGATTATATATATATTCATAAATCTTATTTTAGTTGCATGCTAAAGTCATTTATATATCATGTTTGATCTATGCATACTTTGGATGTTATTTGTTGAAAATATTAATTTTGTACTGCAATGCACGGACTTAAGCTTGGAGTTTTAATTGTTGTAATATTAAGCATTACACTGCAATTATTTGGATTAGTGGATTTAAATTGCGGAACTAGTACTTGGGTTCTATCGATCTAATTGGATTTCAGACTGGAATTAATTGAAGAATTATACATATATATTTTCTGTCAATTAACTAAATGAATACTGGATTTTAACTTGATGATTTATTAAACTTTGTCTCGTTAGTACATGGATGGATGTTGGATTGTTAGTTGATGAACTGTTTAAATTCTGTATTATCTACTATATGGATTATGTGGATTTTATTTGATGAACTGCTCAAAATGTTGCATCATTACGGATCATTTGCATGGTATACACCAGTATGGGACGGTGGGATACGGAGGGACGGATTAGATCAAAACGCTAATCCCTACCCATTCATACATACAGAATGGATTAACTAAAACAGTTAAAATCCTACATGGTTTTATGTCCTGTCAACTAAAATGGTTGAACGACATACTGGATGGTTGTTTATATTTTCTGTTAATAGGAAGGGTAGGGATTTAATTAAAACACTTAAATCCTAATTTTATGTCATGTCATGGCAACGAACTGTTGAGCAGCACTGCATTGGTTTGGATGGGAATTTATATATATAAATTATGGTATCGCGATCTGAGCTTGAGTCTCATAGTCGACAGTTAGGGAGCGTAAATGCAGTAGGATGCGTAGCTAGCTATGTTGGTTGAGGTATACCCTGTTTGGCTTAGGTAGTCATACCCACTCAGGTGCATTCTCAGCATAGTCTAGTGAGAGTCATGTAGTGTGGATATATATATTTATCTATTACGGACTATATAGATATGGTTGAGACGTCTAAGATGTATCTGCGTATCGGGTCTCTGTTTGGATTGTAGTTAGGATAGAACTTATTCGTGGGCCTGACCCACTATTATTTTTCAGGTAACGGACGGTTCCAAGTCTTAGATCTTGTTTGTGATGAACAGAGACGGCTTCTCATTCTTCCGACGACGTAGGAGCTTATTCGTGATTTAGCAGTGGAGTTCTTCAGTTGATGATTTCAGTGTTGGAGTTTTTAGGGGTCCACTAGATGGATTCCCGAGTTGTATTAGAAATGGAGAATTTGGATGTATAAGAATAATTCTTTATTAATTTAATTTTATTCTGAGGTTTCAATATTTGGATTATCATTCTAGTTTCTTTTCAGCAAATTTTTATTTATTCATGTTTCCTTAATTGTATTCTGTGTTCATTTATTGCTAATTGTTTTGATATCCTCGAGTAATCGGGCGTGGGCCTGGCCAACCCGCATCCGGAAATCCGGTGGTATCACAGATGTGTGGTTGGATAAATATTTTGGAAGCAAGTTTTCCTACACAATGTCTAAAACGTCTGATCATTATGGGGTGATGGTGCAGGTTTCAAAGGATTTTGTTTCAGGTCCAAAGCCATTTAAGATGCTTAAAGTCTGGTGTGATAAGAGGGAGGTTCTTCCTCTGGTACAACAGGCTTGGGATATTAATGTAAAAGGTATTCCAATGCATAGATTATTACTTAAACTCAGGAATGTGAAAAAGGATGTCAAACAATGGAATAAGAACGTGTTTGGAGATGTGGGAGAGAAGATAATTCAGATGACACTGAAATTAGAAACAATTCAAGGGAGTTTGTTACAAAATCCCACTGATGCAATGCTTGATGAAGAACAAACTATTAGAGATGAATATGAGTCTGCAATGGCTGATCAAGAAATAATGATGGCTCAAAAATCCATATTGTTTTGGCTGTGGGATAATGATAAATGCACTGCGTACTTTCATAAAAAATTAAAGCAACACAGAAACTTCAATGCTATTACAAAAATTGAGAATGCAGAGGGGGTTGTTTTAACTGATCCTGCAACTATTAGTAGCTGGTTTGTGGAGTATTATCAGAAACTTTTCTCAAAGAGTTCTTCTGAGGTGGTGTGTGATTTTGTTCCTAGGCATACTCTAGATGAAATAGAGAATGATATGTTAGAAGGCCAGTTACCTATGAAGAAATCAAGGGAATGGTGATGAATTTCAAACCTGATAAGGCACCAGGGCCGGATGGATTTCCTGCAAGATTTTACCAAACTTTTTGGTTTATAATTGATAAGGAAGTAATAGCTGCAGTCCAACACTTTTTCATTTTAAAAAATATGCCAATAGGGGTTAGTTGCTCTTTTATTACTTTGATTCCAAAAGTGGGTGATGCTACAAAGCTGAGGGACTTTAGACCAATTGCTCTATGTGTAATATCCCTAATTTAACAAGGATAGTTCTGGAATTTATTTAATTATTTAAATTGTGTTTTTATTTATTTAGTTGTGAATTTGTTGATTAAGTGTAAATTTATTTGTTTTTATTTATTTAGTGGTGGTTTTGTGAATTAATTAATTAATTATTAAATTGTATTTTATTTTCCTGTTTTTCGTTAATTGAACTTAGGGTTTTGTTTTATTTTTTCTTTAGCCGACTTAGTTTCCTGTATAGTATTAGGACTAGAATTAGGGTAACCTTAATCCTATAAATATATACATTAAGGTTCTACCTAGGGTTTTAGAACATAAACACGTCTGTGGAGGCAGAAAGAGAGAACAGAGGAAGGTTTACAGTAGTCGGAGTTCGCCGGAGAATTTAGGAAGCAACGGTGCAAGGTTTCAAACTGAGACCTAAAGGCAAGTTCTTATCCTAACTCATTCCCTTTGCCTCGTGTTCTTTGCATGTCTAACATAACTCCAGGGAACCATTAAAGATTCAAAATTAAACTGGAACCATTAAAGATTAAAATTAAACTGGATTTTTTTTTTTTTTTTATCTCTGTTGATTTAAAACTGATTGTAGTTGTAACGTTGTGTACTACTTGTTTTAATGCTTCCTTGCGTATCTTGTGTTTTAAATTCATGTAAATTGGTGTATGTAGAGTTTATTAGATCTAAAACACATTGGAATTATTAAAAATTAATCTGTCTCGCATGGTGAATTTACTTAAAACAGTGATGTTCCTGATTTCTTAACTTGCTCTTCTTGAAATCTTCTTGCATTAATCCATGTTTTAATCGATGACGGAAGTTGGAAAATGAATATAATGGATTTTGGAACATGTTAAAACTTAGTTTAAATATCTAAGAACCCTAGGATAGAAAGACAGTTCATCAGAAACACGCCGGACGTGAAAGAGATGAAGAAAGAGAAGAGACGACTTAAGATTTAATAGAGCAGGCTCTTCCGGACAAAGAGCAGGCTCTACTTTTAAGTAGAGCCGGCTCTAGGGGTCTTAGAGCAGGCTCTTCTTCTAGTAGAGCCGGCTCCAAGATGGGAAGAGCAGGCTCTTCCATCGGGTGTGCGTTTTTTAATTTTTCTGCGACTGTATGGGCTACAGAACTTGGATTTTGGAATTTTCAGTTTCAATTGAAAGCTATACTGAGGTGTTTAAAGGTGGTCTAAGCTTGATTAAAATCCTTGAGAGAAGATTTATGCAAAATAAAACAACTTTGTTTTAATGCGACAGTGGACAATGCTTAATTAATCAATTTATTGTGTTTTTGTTATGAAAGGATGTAGAATTGCTTAACACTTAGAATAGCAGTTCTTAGCAATAAAATTCTCAATTAAACCTATTCTAATGTTATAAAATGAGCGTGTGGATTTAAATGGTTTAGTATGCTTATTTGGCCCTAAGTTGGTTTACAGTTTGGATGGGAGGAACTGCAAGATGTTTAAACTTTGGTATTAAAATTCTTAGTGATGATTTGCAGTTAGTCACGTTCCAGAATTACTAAAAATAAACCTGTGAACATTTATATTCTGTTATGGTTGATTAGAATTAATTGGTTTACATGTATAACCTGTAGTATCAATTAATGGACATTTCAGAGTAGTATGGATTAAGCTTGTTAATTTACAATTATTTTATCATGCTTAATATGGAACAATTAATATTTGTACTTAATGTTTTATTGTCAATTGTGGAATGTATGGATTGGTTGATAGTTATATTTTTATTTATTCTATTAACTGCCGGATGGATTAAATTGTATGCACCGGTATGGGACGGTGACATATTAGGTTTGGATTGGCTCAAAATTGTTATATCCTATCTATACGGAATAAGGGAATGGATTAAAAATAAATCCTACTTATATTTAGGCTAAGTCAAAGAAGCTGCATAAGCTGAATGACTAGCTGAATTACTGGTTATCTATGTTAAGTCTGTGTAGTTGAATAAGCTGAACGACTTACTAGATTTATTATGGATGGTTATGAACGGATTTTAAATATATTATTATGGTACCGTGACATGAGCTTGAGTCTCAGTGTCGACGGTTAGGGAGCATATATGCAGTAGGATGCGTAACTGGCTATGCTGGTTGTGGTGTACCCTGTTAGGCTTAGGTAGTCATGCCCACTCAGGTGCGTTTTGCATATTGCCTTCTACTCAGGTTGAGACCCATTTCATAGTCCAGTGAGAGTCCATAGTGTGGATATATATATATATATATATATATATATATACACGACTTATATAGTTATTGTTGAGTTGGTTAGAGTGTATATGCGTATCGAGTCTCTGCTTTGATTGTAGTAGGTTAGAACTTGTTCGTGGGCCTGACCCGCTCCTATTTTCAGGTGTACGTCAGTTCTAGGCTTGAGTTTGTTCGTGCTGGGCAGAGACGATCTTCCATTCTACCGACGATGTAGGACTTCCTTCCAGATATTTGATTTGGATTTTATCTTCAGTTTACTTTCATTTCAGTTTGTTTTTAGGGGTCCACCAGAGATGAATTCCCGAGTTGTTAACTTATGGAGGTTTTAGATAATTGGGATTTAAGTATATTTAGTATTAAAGGTTTTTATATTTAGTTTTCTTTCAGCTTAAACTATTGTTTCTTAAATTCATTTTGTATTCCGTGTTCGTTATAATATATTAATTGTTTGATATTTTCCTTGGGTTTGGGCCTGGGCCTAATCAACCCGTGTCTCGGATTCGATGAGTATCACACTATGCAATTTGGTTTACAAGATTATCACTAAAATCATAGCAAATAGGTTAGCTCTGGTTCTTCCAAATTTGGTTGGGTTGGAACAAAGTGCTTTCGTGAAAGGTAGAAGAATTCAGGAAGCAATAATTATAGCACATGAATTGGTAAGGGACTTCAACAAGATTAGACATCCAGTTATGGCTTTAAAATTTAATATCAAAAAAGCCTATGATTCAGTTTCTTGGGAAGGTTTGATGACAGCTTTAAAGAAATTTGGTTTCAGAGACAGTTGGATTGAGTTGATTGCTTCCATATTTCAGTCTTCTAGGTATTCAATCCTGTTAAATGGGTCTCTTGCTGGCTTTTTTCATCCAAAAAGAGGGCTGAGACAAGGCTGCCCTTTATCTCCTCTCTTATTTACCTTGATTACTGAATTTTTCTCTACTTTAGTTGTTGATGCTGTGCAGAGGAAGGAGTTGGCAGTGTTGAAATCTGTGGAAAAATTTCAAGAACCTCTTACTCACATATTTTTTGTAGACGATTTAATGTTGGCCTGTAAGGCTTCTGTTCATAATGCAGCCGTTATTACTGATATTTTCAGACGACTTGAAAAGATTACAGGTTTATAAATCAATCAGGGAAAAAGTAAAGTCCTCTTCTCAAGAGCAGTGAGAAGAAAACAAGTTTTATTACAGGTTCTGAAGTGTACAGAAGATACTTTTCCAATTAAATACTTGGGGTTGCCTTTATGTCCAACTGGGTTAAAGAGAACTCATTGTAAGGAGCTGTTGGCCAAAGTTGTTAATAAGATAATGTGCTGGAACACAAAGTTACTGTCTTTAGCAGGTAGGTTGGAATTAATTAGAGTTGTGGTTATGCCTATCTTTCAGTACTGGTGTAGCATATATGACATCCCTGTGACAATCATCAATCAAATTCAAAATAAATGCAGAGACTTTCTTTGGGGAAGTAAAGAAGATGCATTTATTAAACTGGGATAAAGTGACTCAACCAAAATCTGAAGGAGGGTTGGGGATTAGAAAACTTTCTGATCTCCAATTAGCATCTCGATGTGTGTTAGCTTGAAAATTTTTAACAAGCAAGGATAGATTGTGGATTTCATGGTATAAGTTCAAGTACACTCAACACTCTAATTATTGGAATGTAGTGGTAAAGCAAACCAGTTCTCCTATTTGGAAATCTTTAGTGGCAGTGAGAGATGTGATGCAACAACATGTTCAATTCAAGATTGGGGATGGACAACATACACTGTTATTTAAGGATCCCTGGTGTAATGGTCAACTGTTTAGTGGTGTGTTTGGTCATAGAGTGGTTCGGAGCCTACAACTACACAGAGATGCTACTGTTAGTTCTTTGATTCAGAATGAGGTTTGGTTTTACCACATTTTACAAAGTGAGTTTTTAACTCCAGTTAGATTGTTTCTGCAGAATATAGTGATTAATAGAGTGGAGGATAAACTGTTGTGGGATGAGGGACGTTTCTCATTCAAAACAGCATGGAATGGTATTAGGACAGCTACTACTGAAGTTTCTTGGTACAAAGTATGTTGGGGTAAGGCACGTCCTAGATGGTCTATCATAGCAGTGTTGGTTCTCCTTGATCGGTTGCCTTCTATGGCAAATTTGCAGAAAAGGAAGGTTGTTCTAGTAGCAAGGTGCACACTGTATCAACAGAATATTGATACTACTGACCATGTCTTTGTCTTCTGTCCATTTTCACAGGGGGTTTGGAGGTGGTTAGGGGGTGTCTTAGGGTGGGAGCTGCAGCAGTTGCAGGAGCTTACTTCAGTGTGGGATCTTTTTATTTGGTTGGACAATCAGAATTCCAAAAGACTTCAAAGTCTTTTTGCTGCAGGGGTATGGTTTATTTGGAGAGAGAGAAATAATAGGCTTCATGGTAATATTTCTTTACTTCAGGAGGTAGTGGCTCATTCTACCCTCATGGAAGTTTGTGATGTTCAAAAGGTTGCTCTTAATGATATCCTTGCTTAGGGTTGAGATTTATTTTTTGTTTTTGTATTGGAAATGGGC